CAGATGTGTACACTTCGTTTGTTTACAAAACTTACCTTCGCCTGGTTTGTTTACATAACTCTGCGCCTGCCCCCTCTCATGTACTCATTCTTTCTCTCTCTCATTTATTCGTTTTATCTCATTTACTTACTCCTGACCCTACATTAAGACTACAAATATTTTAAGGTAAGTAATGAGTGAACTGTATATACATTTTATCGCTCTGGGATGCTTAAATATCATAGAATAGTATGTGTGGGTGGGGTGGCCTGGTAAGGTAGCCTGGCTATTACCATACGTACCACACTTGATTTCTTACAATAAATACTACTTGTCTCACCCTAGATTAAGACTATAAATATTTTAAGGTAAGTAATGAGTGCACTATGTGTGTATTGTACTTTTTTATTGTTTTTTGATGCCTGGTTCTATTGCTAACTTAATATATGTTAGTGTAAACTTGTTATCTAGTGTTTGTATGCATTTATAAGTGGAAAAAAAGGGTGTTCCACTTTACGGCGGTAGCCTGGAACCTAACCTGCCGTATAAGTGGGGCCCTCCTGTACTTGGGAGTTGACGTGTCGGCGGATGGATTTATGAAGGATGAGGTTAATCATAGAATTGATGAGGGAAAAAAGGTGAGTGGTGCGTTGAGGTATATGTGGAGTCAAAAAACGTTATCTATGGAGGCAAAGAAGGGAATGTATGAAAGTATAGTAGTACCAACACTCTTATATGGATGTGAAGCTTGGGTGGTAAATGCAGCAGCGAGGAGACGGTTGGAGGCAGTGGAGATGTCCTGTCTAAGGGCAATGTGTGGTGTAAATATTATGCAGAAAATTCGGAGTGTGGAAATTAGGAGAAGGTGTGGAGTTAATAAAAGCATTAGTCAGAGGGCAGAAGAGGGGTTGTTGAGGTGGTTTGGTCATTTAGAGAGAATGGATCAAAGTAGAATGACATGGAAAGCATATAAATCTATAGGGGAAGGAAAGAGGGTAGGGGTCGTCCTCGAAAGGGTTGGAAAGAGGGGGTAAAGGAGGTTTTGTGGGTGAGGGGCTTGGACTTCCAACAAGCGTGCATGAGCGTGTTAGATAGGAGTGAATGGAGACGAATGATACTTGGGACCTGACGATCTGTTGGAGTGTGAGCAGGGTAATATTTAGTGAAGGGATTCAGGGAAACCGGTTATTTTCATATAGTCGGACTTGAGTCCTGGAAATGGGAAGTACAATGCCTGCACTTTAAAGGAGGGGTTTGGGATATTGGCAGTTTGGAGGGATATGTTGTGTATCTCTATACGTATATGCTTCTAAACTGTTATATTCTGAGCACCTCTGCAAAAGCAGTGATAATGTGTGAGTGTGGTGAAAGTGTTGAATGATGATGAAAGTATTTTCTTTTTGGGGATTTTCTTTCTTTTTTTGGGTCACCCTGCCTCGGTGGGAGACGACCGACTTGTTGAAAAAAAAAAAAAAAATGGTTATTTTCTTTTCCAGTGTTTAGAACTCTGCATTTGTCTATGTTAAACTGTATCTGCCACTTCTCCGACCACTGCATCAGTCTTTTCAAATCTTCCTGGAGTGCTTTAATGTCCTCATTAGAATGAATTAGGTGACCTATTTTGGTGTCATCAGCAAACTTGCTTTTTTTTTTTTTTTTTTTTTTTTTCCAACAAGTCGGCCGTTTCCCACCGAGGCAGGGTGACCCAAAAAAGAAAGAAAATCCCCAAAAAGAAAATACTTTCATCATCATTCAACACTTTCACCACACTCACACATTATCACTGCTTTTGCAGAGGTGCTCAAAATACAACAGTTTAGAAGCATATACGTATAAAGATACACAACATATCCCTCCAAACTGCCAATATCCCAAACCCCTCCTTTAAAGTGCAGGCATCGTACTTCCCATTTCCAGGACTCAAGTCCGACTATATGAAAATAACCGGTTTCCCTGAATCCCTTCACTAAATATTACCCTGCTCACACTCCAACAGATCGTCAGGTCCCAAGTATCATTCGTCTCCATTCACTCCTATCTAACACGCTCATGCATGCTTGCTGGAAGTCCAAGCCCCTTGCCCACAAAACCTCCTTTACCCCGTCTTTCCAACCCTTTCGAGGACGACCCCTACCCCTCCTTCCTTCCCCTATAGATTTATATGCTTTCCATGTCATTCTACTTCGATCCATTCTCTCTAAATGACCAAACCACCTCAACAACCCCTCTTCTGCCCTCTGACTAATGCTTTTATTAACTCCACACCTTCTCCTAATTTCCACACTCCGAATTTTCTGCATAATATTTACACCACACATTGCCCTTAGACAGGACATCTCCACTGCCTCCAACTGTCTCCTCGCTGCTGCATTTACCACCCAAGCTTCACATCCATATAAGAGTGTTGGTACTACTATACTTTCATACATTCCCTTCTTTGCCTCCATAGATAACGTTTTTTGACTCCACATATACCTCAACGCACCACTTACCTTTTTTCCCTCATCAATTCTATGATTAACCTCATCCTTCATAAACCCATCCGCTGACACGTCAACTCCCAAGTACCTGAAAACATTCACTTCTTCCATACTCCTCCTCCCCAATTTGATATCCAATTTTTCTTTATCTAAATCATTTGATACCCTCATCACCTTACTCTTTTCTATGTTCACTTTCAACTTTCTACCTTTACACACATTCTCAAACTCATCCACTAACCTTTGCAATTTTTCTTTAGAATCTCCCATAAGCACAGTATCATCAGCAAAAAGTAACTGTGTCAGTTCCCATTTTGAATTTGATTCCCCATAATTTAATTTCACCCCTCTCCCGAACACCCTAGCATTTACTTCTTTTACAACCCCATCTATAAATATATTAAACAACCATGGTGACATTACACATCCCTGTCTAAGACCTACTTTTACCGGGAAGTATTCTCCCTCTCTCCTACATACCCTAACCTGAGCCTCACTATGCTTATGTCGCTGTTTATTCCCTCATCATTGTCATTTATATAAATATTTAACAACAAAGGGCCCAACACTGACCCCTGTGGAACACCACTCGTGACATGCCCCCATGCTGATTTCTCCCTATTGGTGCAAACTCTCTGCTGCCTATGTGTCAACCATGCCTCTACCCAGGAAAAAAATTCTCCTCCTATTCTGTGTGTCTTAATTTTCCTCAATAGTCTCTGATGTGTAACTCTATCAAAAGCCTTACTGAAGTCCATATACACAATATCATATTCATTACCATGTTCTACCTCCTCAGGTACCCTGGTTAAAAAAGTTAGTATGTAAATTCATAACGCAGAAATGCCTCTTTGTAAAACCGTGCTGAGATTCCTCAATGAATTTATGCCTGTAAAGATGGTTATGAATTGCCTTGGCAATTAATGAGTCCATAAATTTTCCTATTATAGAGGTAAGGCTTATTGGTCTATAGTTCGAAGCTAAGGACCTGTCTCCTACTTTTTAAATAGGTATTACATTTGCCATTTTCCACTTGTCAGGCACTATGCCAGTTTGTAGTGATGAAAAAACTAGCTAAAGGTTTTCTAAGCTCCTCTTTACATTCCATTAAAACCCTTGCAAACAGTCAAGATATGGTACTATGTATCCCAAATGGTACTCCTTGCACTTTACCATGCTCTCATCTGCCCTTACCTCGCCTATTTGTGCTTGTGGTTCAACCATAGCCAATTACCTTAAACCTTTAATAATCCAACAAAAAACTGCTGTGCGGTTGATTACCAACTCCTGTGTCAGGCAACACACTCCATTGCTCTTCAAGAGCTTGAACTTACTTAATATATACAATCTTTCTTTCAACGCACTGGCCATATCCCACCGAGGCAGGGTGGCCCAAAAAGAAAAACAAAGTTTCTCTTTATAAATTTAGTAATGTATACAGGAGAAGGGGTTACTAGCCCCTTGCTTCCGGCATTTTAGTTGCCTCTTATGACATGCATGGCTTACAGAGGAAGAATTCTCTCCCACTTCCCCAAGGAGATAAGAGGAAATAAACAAGAACAAGAGGTAGTAAGAAAAGAGAAGAAAACCCAGAGGGGTGTGTGTGTATATATATATGCTTGTACATGCATGTGTAATGTGACCTAAGTGTAAGCAGAAGTAGCAAGATGTACCTGAAATCTTGCAAATACACAAAATATCCACTCATGCTATTGTGCCAACTACACATACAGAACATTATATGTACTCCAGTATAAAGCCTCCTCTCAAACTCCTCCTTGATAACTACAACAGAACACACAGGCATAACACAAGGCACAAAACACTCTTTGACATCCCTCGTGTCCATCTTACCCTATGCAAAAATGCTATGTGCATAAAGGGCTCAAAGATCTGGAATTCATTGCCTGAACATGCAAATGGTCCCCTGCCTGTAAATCAATTTAGGGCTCTACTTAAAAATCATCTCCCAAAATTAACCTTACAAACACTGTTTAATCATCTAACCAGTTTGAAGCAACTCAAAAAATTCCCCCAAAATTTACAGCTGCTTAATTAAACATTTATTCAGACTTAATTTTTTTTCTATTTTATTATTGTAATATGTGCTAAATTGTAATACTGTTATTTTTATACAATTCATCTCAACTATAAATTTTATTACTGCAAATCATTAGCTACCTCACTGTTGTAATAAGGAAAATAATGTATAATTAAAATTTACCACTCTTTATATGTCTAGTATTAAGTAGTCTGTAAGCATTAGGATTAGTCTGCCCAAAATGCCCCGGCATGTTAGTGGCTTTCTTTGTACCTGTCGACACATTTTTTAATGCATTCACATGTAACCTTTGCAAAGAAATAAAATGTTTGTTATTAATAATACTTCGTTTGAATTTTTCATAATATAAATCTGAAAAATGTACATAATTTATTTGCCACATTTGTAAACTTTGATGCTGAAATAGTATACTTTGATATTTATCATTAATTTTGTAATGAATGTCTAATCCTAATTCCTAAGTCTTCCTTCCTAAGCAGTGGTCTCTCAGTGGGTGATGCTGAGGCAGTGGGCACTGACTGGCTGGGTTGGGCAGTGTTTGGCTCAGTGCTGTGGGCAGTATGGGCATTCATAGAGCAACAAACTATTGCTCTGATGATGATCATCAAGTCATCCTACACAGCTGGTGCCATCTCGATTGCTCTCACCACCTTCTACCTCCTTGTTGCCTCTGCTTCTCTAAGGTTAGTTTTTTATTACAACATTGGCTATTTCCCATGAAAGTAGAGTATTTGTTGAAATTTCTAATACAGTGTCATCTAATGGTCCTGACAGAGACAAGGAGCTCACAAGTTGTAAGTGTCTTACTATTTTTCTTAATATATTTTCCAGCTATATTTTAATATTCAGTATTCTTCAGTGAATAGACACCTCAAAGGTCTACAACTAATAGTGGAAGAAATACTATATTTCCAAGTTCCAATGGACTTTTCTTAGCCTGAACAGAAGATTTTGGCATTTTTTTTACAAAGGCACTCGGTTAAATAGGTACAGTGGAACCTTGGCTTATGAATTTAATCCGTTCCGTGACCTTGTTTGTATCCCTATGATTATTGTGTGTCTTTTTAAATTTTTTTTCTTAAATGATAGAAAATATTTTTCTGAAAGTCATGCAAAAAAGAACTAAATTTGATGAAAAATTTACGGAATTACGCAGGTGCAAAGTTAGTAGTCTCGGCACAATTTATGCATTGGTGATGTAGCCCAGTTTGAGTCCTATTTTAAGCTTTTGTTGCTCCAAATTCTTAAATTTTGTGCTAATATGCTTTCTGTTTTATTGACTGAGCACAAGAAACTGCTTATTCAACTATTTCAGCTAATCTGTAAAGTGCACAGTACTTTGTAATTTGGCCAGTATTACCTCTTCAAGGGGGGCTCCTTGGCACGATGAAGAGGTTCTTGATCTGAATAATTAAACTTTTTGGTCTCCTTCCTTAGACTGAACCTAATTACTCACCAATATCCCCTTCCCTATCCCATTCTCCCCATCCCCCTTTCCTCCTCCCCTCCCCATCCCTCCCCCCCTCCTCATCCCTCCCCTATTCCCTTCTTGTTTTTCACCTTTGGGATTCTCCCCAACTGGCATTCTAGTTCCTAGGTAGAGAGAATGGTACCATGGGTCATCCCATTCCATTGAGGTCCTTGGTGGTGATGTAGTTTGCCGTGGAACCTGGATCACCTGGGGATGTCCCAATCCCTCTCTGTTCTCCCGGGGGGTGGCTTTGGGTGTCTTTCGGGTGACGGGTGTATCTATGGAGGCTGCCTAAAATCAGTACTTGACTAGCCAGGCTGTAGTTCGTACATAGGTCTGCATGCGACCAGCAGTAACAACCTGGTTAATCAGGCCCTGATCCACTGCAAGGCCTGGTCACAGACAGGGTCATGGGTATTGACCCCCCCGAAACCACATGAGGAATACCGGCTTCAGTGATGTAGTTCTGTTTAATGACCACTGAACGGGTTAATAGACTGTCATACAAAGATTGCTATTTTGCTTGGATTAACAACTTGAAGGGGTAATAACCCTGGATAACTTAAGTCAGGTTGTCATCGAGAACTGTTGGACTGTCGGTTGTCTTCCCTTGTGGGCCTTTAATTCTCTCTCTCAGGATGTGCTTCTCACTAGCTGGTTAATATTCAGGTAATTGGCTTTAAGTAGCCCAGAAGCATTTTTAAGTATCGTTTAAGTATCATTAGTACAAATCCCATAGATTTTGTAAAAGAAATGGAAAACATGCCCACTCACTCAGCACCTGGACCAGATTCATGGAATGCTCTATTTATAAAGAAGTGCAAAGTACCACTAGCACGAGCCCTCGGTATTCTTTGGAGAAAGAGCTTAGATCTAGGTGAAATACTGGAGGCCTTAAAGAGTGCAGACAGCTCCTTTGCATAAGGGGGGTAGTAGAGCACTAGCTAAAAATTACAGACCAGTAGCCCTAACCTCTCGCATCATAAAAATCTTCGAAAGAGTGATGAGATGGCAGGTTACAAATTTCATGGACCAGCACAACCAACATAACCTGAACCAGCATGGTTTTAGAGCAGGTCGATCATGTCTGTCACAGCTGCTGAACCATTATGACAGAATTACGGAGGCACTGGAAGACAACCAAAACACAGATGTGATTTACACAGATTTTGCAAAGGCGTTTGACAAATGCGATCGTGGAGTGATAACGCTCAAAATGAAGGCCATGGACATTACAGGGAAGCTAGGCAGATGGATTTTCGGTTTCCTAACACACAGAACACAGAAAGTAGTAGTGAACAGGGCAAGATCCAGCATCAGCGAGATCAAAAGCTCAGTGCCCCAGGGCACTGTCCTGGCACCTCTGCCGTTCCTCATCCTCAGCAGACAGACAAAAACACCCGGCACACTTTTGTATCATTTGCAGATGACACTAAAATAAGCATGAAAGTCAGTATGGTAGAGGACACTGAAAAAGTACAAGAAGACATAAACAGGGTTTTCCAGTGGGCAGTGGAGAACAACATGACGTTCAATGGTGATAAGTTCCAGCTGCTTAGGTGTGGAAAGAATGAAGAACTCAAAAGGAGCACTATGTACAAAATGCAAGAGGATCACCAAATAGAACGTAAGGAACACGTAAAAGACCTAGGAATGATTGTCAGTGGACCTTTCTTTTAAAGACCATAACAAGACAAAGATCACGACAGCCAGGAAGATGATGGGGTGGGTATTGAGAACTTTCAAAACAAAGGAAATAATGCTGACGGTGACACTCTTCAAATCGCTAGTGCTCCCTCACTTAGAATATTGCTCAGTGCTGATGGCCCTGTTCAAGGCAGGAGAAATATCGGAGCTGGAACAAATACAGAGATCGTTTATGGCTCACATTGAGCCAGTAAAGCACCTAAACTGCTGGGAACTCCTGCAAGATTTGAACATGTACTCATTGGAGCGGAGGAGAGAGAGAGGTACGTGATAATATATACCTGGAAGGTACTCGAGGGCTTATTTCCAAATCTGCACACTGCCATAACATACTGGAGTGAGAGATACGGGAGGAAGTGTAAAATAAACCCAGTGAAGAGCAGGGGTGTGGTGGAGACAATAAGGGAACACTGTATCAACATCCGGGGTCCCAGACTTTCCAACATCTTACCAGAAGATATCAGAAACACTGCTGGAACAAGTGTAGAAGCCTTCAAGAGGAAACTGGACAAGTATCTTCACCAGGTGCCAGATCAACCAGGCTATGATGGATATGTGGGGCAGCAGGCCTTCAGCAGCAACAGCCTGGTTGACAAGGTAAGCACCAGACGAGCCTGGCCCATGGCTGGGCTCAGAGAGTAGATAAACTCTCGAAACTCTTCAAAGGTATATCAAAGGTTTTAAGGTTACTGCAGTTGTCTTGTGCTAATTACTCTGCTTTCCAAATGAAGGCCTATATGAATGTTCCACAAGCTGTCTTATCACTTTGATGCCAGGTTTACTAGGCAGTGTTTTTTATGATGTAAATTTTTTAACATTACAGTGTAACATTACAGTTGTGAGGTAAATTGAGGACAGTGAGAATGAGTACAAAATTTAATTTTGTGTAGCTTAACTCAAATTTAAATTTGTGTACGTTAATAAACTTTTTAAATTTTTGTCTTAGGTCGTTGGTGCATCTACCGGACTGGTTGTACTATGTGGGACATGTCACAGTGTTGAGGTATGCCTCTTCAGTGTTGCATGAACATGTCTTCCTTGATAAACTGCCCAACCTTCCTGTTAACATTAGTGCTGACTGTCCTGACAACAATGCAGAATATGGCTGCCGATACAGGAATGGTACTTACTACCTCCTCGAACGCTACCACTTCCCTGAGAATGGCCTTGATCTTGGTCGGCAAGATCTTGATCTCTGGACAAATTTTGCTCTTTCTTTTGCCTTTTTTGGTGGGATGTTTTTGCTCAACCTGGTTTTATACTTAGTGCCATTACCCTCTTTTATAAAATCAAAGTTCAGAGACTAATAACATGTGCAAAATTTGTATGAACAAATACATATTTTTTTCCTTTGCAAAAGTTAGATTTAAATGTATACTTTATAATATTGTAATGTATTACAGCATTGTGTACTACCTACATGTCAGTCATGACCAGGAATGATAATTATGGTAGTGTGTAGTTGTTTGTACTCTTGTACTTAGATAATTGTGTGGGATAATGGGCGTATGGCCTGGTCTATGGTCAGGCTCTGGAAGCAGAAAAATTCTTGGAACTCATCAAAGGTATATCAAATATTGCTTAGTAAGGGAAACATAAGGGAAAATATTTTTCAGATATTGGAGCTTGGATAAAAGTTAAATCATTTGTAACTCTAGTACTTTACTGACATTGTCCAGATCTTGTGAAAAATGCTAATGACGCTTTGTAGTATTCATAGCCCTTTGAAGAGTGAATATTACGTTATTTACCATAAGCCTCTTTTTTTTTTTTTCTTCTTTCCCTTTCTGTCCCTTCTCTCCCTCTCTCCTACCCTTTACACATTCCTATCCTTGCACATTCCTCTTTTTCAGGTGGAGCAATGGCAAGACTAAAAAGCCGGCATCACCTCAGGGTGAAAAGAACTCGTAAGCATAGGACCTACAGGTTTCCCAATGGGACCATAATAGTTTGTCTACCCCCTTCTGTCTCCTCCCCTTCCTATGAGGCCACACCTCAAAAGCCTGCTCCAGTTCCCTGAATTAAGCCTGAATACCTTCCATCCCATCCCCCCACAGGCGCTGTACAATCCTATGGGTTTAGCACTTCCCCACGATTATAATAATACATGGGAATCTTTCACGAAGCTCGGGGAGCTATATGACCCTTGTGGGTTTAGTACTTAGTTTTTATTGGAATAATAAAGCTCAGGAAAAACCCACTGTATACTAGCAAACAGCAACACGGGAATCCTCCTCATAACTAGTATGACTGCCACACATTACCGGGTATCCAGAGGCCCACAACATCCTAAGTCACTCCACCTACCTTTCCTCTGATCAACAGCCAGTAATCCTGCCTGCACAACCATCCTAAGTCACTATCGCTCCTTTCTTGCCTTCATCTCTTCCTCCCTCTCTTATTTCCCCTAACCTCTCTCCCACTATATATATTGTCCTCTCTTCCCTCCTACCCATCTCATCTCTCCCTTTTGTTCCCTTCCTCTTGTCTCTGCCTCTGTTTTCTTCCCTGCCCTACCCTTACAATTTCTCGCCTGTCTCTTCATATGTCCTCTCCTGTCTTCTCTGTTCCCATACCAGCAATCTCTCTCGCCTATCTACTCATATTGCCCTGTCTCTCCCTTTCTGTTCTGTCTCACCCATCCTCTTTCTTGCCTGTCTTCCCATGTCCCCCCCTCTTTTCTTGCCTATTTTCCCTTTTCTACATTATTCTTTCTCCTCTCTCTTGCCTACTTTCCTCTATCCCACCTATTCCTCTCTTCTTTCTCTTTGTTGTTGTCTATCCCCTTCCCTATCTGTTCTCTCCTTTGTCTCCCTTATCTATTCTCTCCCCTCTCTAACTCCCCTTTGTCTTCCTTCCCTATTTCCTCTCTTGTCCCCCTCTATTCTGTGTCCCTCGTATCTATACTCTTCCTCTCTCCCCATCTTCTCCTTTGTCCCCCTCTCCTACATGTTCACCATTTTTCTCTCTTATCTAATCTCTCTCCCTTATCTGTTCTCTCCTTTATTTACTGTCTCCCATCCTCTCCCTTCTCTTCCTCTCCTCCTCATAACACAAACTCCTAAATAACTAAAACCTGGGCAACTTGTACAGGTTAAAATAAAAATAAAATTCATATAAATTTTATACCTGGAGTTTACCTGGAGAGAGTTCCGGGGGTCAACGTCCCCGCGGCCTGGTCTGTGACCAGGCCTCCTGGTGGATCAGAGCCTGATCAACCAGGCTGTTACTGCTGGCTGCATGCAAACCAACGTACGAGCCACAGCCCGGCTGATCAGGAACCGACTAGGTGCTTGTCCAGTGCCAGCTTGAAGACTGCCAGGGGTCTGTTGGTAATCCCCCTTATGTATGCTGGGAGGCAGTTGAACAGTCTCGGGCCCCTGACACTTATTGTATGGTCTCTTAACGTGCTAGTGACACCCCTGCTTTTCATTGGGGGGATGTTGCATCGTCTGCAAAGTCTTTTGCTTTCGTAGTGAGTGATTTTCGTGTGCAAGTTCGGTACTAGTCCCTCTAGGATTTTCCATGTGTATATAATCATGTATCTCTCCCGCCTGCGTTCCAGGGAATACAGGTTCAGGAACCTCAAGCGCTCCCAGTAATTGAGGTGTTTTATCTCCGTTATGCGTGCCGTGAAGGTTCTCTGTACATTTTCTAGGTCAGCAATTTCACCTGCCTTGAAAGGTGCTGTTAGTGCAGCAATATTCCAGCCTAGATAGAACAAGTGACCTGAAGAGTGTCATCATGGGCTTGGCATCCCTAGTTTTGAAGGTTCTCATTATCCATCCTGTCATTTTTCTAGCAGATGCGATTGATACAATGTTATGGTCCTTGAAGGTGAGATCCTCCGACATGATCACTCCCAGGTCTTTGACGTTGGTGTTTCGCTCTATTTTGTGGCCAGAATTTGTTTTGTACTCTGATGAAGATTTAATTTCCTCGTGTTTACCATATCTGAGTAATTGAAATTTCTCATCGTTGAACTTCATATTGTTTTCTGCGGCCCACTGAAAGATTTGGTTGATGTCCGCCTTGAGCCTTGCAGTGTCTGCAATGGAAGACACTGTCATGCAGATTCAGGTGTCATCTGCAAAGGAAGACACGGTGCTGTGGCTGACATCCTTGTCTATGTCAGATATGAGGATGAGGAACAAGATGGGAGCGAGTACTGTGCCTTGTGGAACAAAGCTTTTCACCATAGCTGCCTCAGACTTTACTCTGTTGACTACTACTACTCTGTGTTCTGTTAGTGAGGAAATTATAGATCCATCGACCGACTTTTCCTGTTATTCCTTTAGCATGCATTTTGTGCGCTATTACGCCATGGTCACACTTGTCGAAGGCTTTTGCAAAGTCTGTATATATTACATCTGCATTCTTTTTATCTTCTAGTGCATCTAGGACCTTGTCATAGTGATCCAATAGTTGAGACAGACAGGAGCGACCTGTTCTGAACCCATGTTGCCCTGGGTTGTGTAACTGATGGGTTTCTAGATGGGTGGTGATCTTGCTTCTTAGGATCCTTTCAAAGATTTTTATGATATGGGATGTTAGTGCTATCGGTCTGTAGTTCTTTGCTGTTGCTTTACTGCCCCCTGTGTGGAGTGGGGCTATGTCTGTTGTTTTTAGTAACTGTATGACGACCCATGTGTCCATGCTCCCTCTCCATAGGATGGCAAAGGCTCGTGATAGGGGCTTCTTGCAGTTCTTGATGAACACGGAGTTCCATGAGTCTGGCAATGGGGCAGAGTGCATGGGCATGTCATTTATTGCCTGTTCAAAGTCATTTGGCATCAGGATAACATCAGATAGGCTTGTGTTAACCAAATTCTGTGGCTCTCTCATAAAAAATTCATTTTGATCTTCGACTCTGGTTAGCGGCTTGCTAAAAACTGAGTCATATTGGGACTTGAGTAGCTCACTCATTTCCTTGCTGTCATCTGTGTAGGACCCATCTTGTTTAAGTAAGGGCCCAATACTGGACGTTGTTCTCGACTTTGATTTGGCATAGGAGAAGAAATACTTTGGGTTTCTTTCGATTTCATTTATGGCTTTTAGTTCTTCCCATGATTCCTGACTCCTATAAGATTCGTTTAGCTTAAGTTCGATGTTTGCTATTTCTCTGACCAGTGTCTCCCTACGCATTTCAGATATATTGACCTCTTTTAGCCACTCTGTTATTCTTTTCCATCGCCTGTAAAGGGAGCGCCTGTCTTTCTATTTTACATCTACTCCTCCTTTTTCTTAGAGGAATAAGCCTTGTGCATACTTCGAGTGCCACCAAGTTAATCTGTTCTAGGCATAAGTTGGGGTCTGTGTTGCTTAGTATATCTTCCCAGCTTATGTCGGTTAGGACTTGGTTTACTTGGTCCCACTTTGTTTTTGTTATTGAAGTTGAATTTGGTGAATGCTCCCTCGTGACTAATCTCATTATGTCGGTCTGGGACTCCGCGCATACATGTCTGAACCTCAATTATGTTGTGATCTGAGTATATTGTTTTTGATATGGTGACATTTCTTATCAGATCTCATTGTTAGTGAAGATGAGGTCTGTGTATTCTCCAGTCTAGTAGGCTCTATTATTTGCTGGTTTAAGTTGAATTTGTGCAGAGATTTAAAAGCTCGTGTGAGTGTGAGTTTTCATCAGAGCTGCCTCCTGGTGTTATTACTGCAACAATATTATTTGCTATATTCCTCCATTTTAGGTGCCTTAAGTTGAAATCCCCCAGGAGCAAGATGTTGGGTGCAGGAGCTGGAAGATTTTCCAGACAGTGGTCAATTTTTAACAGCTGTTCCTGGAATTGTTGGGATGTTGCATCCGGAGGCTTGTAGACTACCACAATGACTATTTTTTGGTTCTTGATCTTTACTGCTAAAACTTCCACTACATCATTTGAGGCATTAAGCAGTTCTCTGCAAACAAGTGACTCTGCAATGTACAGGCCAAGCCCCCCCTTTTGCCTGTTCACTCTGTCACATCTGTATAGGTTGTAACCTGGGATCCATATTTCGTTGTCCAAGTGATCCTTTATGTGGGTCTCGGTGAAAGCCGCGAACATTGCCTTTGCCTCTGCAAGCAGTCCACGGATGAAAGGTATTTTGTTGTTTGTTGCTAGCTTTAGACCCTGTATATTTGCAAAGAAGAATGTCATCGGACTGGTGGTATTGTTGGTACTGGAGGGGGATTTTTTTTCCGGCATTAGTATCTGTATCTGTTGGTTTGGAGTGGAGGCCATCGACTGTGGTTCCACTCCAGGAATGACTGGATTTGGTGTATGATTTCTGCCATTTCCTGCCAGTTTTTTTTCCTTCCTGGCACTAAAAAAACTCTCCCTCTTGAGTGGCTGTGGCTACCCAGGTTTTCCCATGGCCTGGATGTTTTGTATCTTTTTGTCCCCTTTAGATGGTGTGCCTGGCAATTTAAGTTATAGCACAGTCTTTCCTGTACTGAAGAGGTACACATTTCAGGGTGAAAAAGCTTACAGGAAGGGAGTTTGCATTTTCCTGTTGTCATATGGGCACGGCATTTCCTAGGGTGGTCATAGTTGCATGTCCCATCTGTTTTTCCAGATTTCACATGTCTGCAGATACCAAGTGCATAGTATGTGCACAGGCTTGGTTTCCATTTGCCTTGGGTTTCTGTGACTGTATTCCCTGTTGGTGCATGTTTACCTGTCTTATTCCTATCCTCCCTAGCACCAACAATGGAGCTCCCACCAGTTGTTTTTGGTAATATATCCTCACTATTGCTAGTGGAGTCCTCTTGTTTGCTATTTCCTGCGGTATTTCTAGTTTGCAATATTGGTTTTATCTTTGACTACACTTTCCCCACTACGGCTCCTGTCCCCTATGAGGTCATTTATATGTATTCCTTCCTGCGTATAATTCCCAACTACCTGGACAAAATTTCCAGCTTCACCATTACTATATTGAAATTTCCATAGAATTATCAAGAATAGAAAATGCGATGCTAGTTTTTTCATTTTGTGATCACAGAAAATGGGAAGCTCTTTAAAATGCAAAAATAATAATAGAAAATAAGATGTGCATTATAACAAAAAATGAGAACCAAAAGATGGTGTGTAATTCCCGTGGATACAGGTTTCCATAGATTTGAGGGGAACAGATTTTCTTAATGGGGGTCCCCTCAAGGGAGGTTCCTTGATGCTGGGGAAATTTCTGACAGTTCATGTCTGTTCTCCCCCACTACTGTGAACCAAAGCTTTCCTGCCTACGACTGCTGCTCGCTCACTTTTTCTCGATCACTTCTGGTCACATGCTCATGCCATTGCTGTTTATACAGATGGTTCTAAATCTGACGGTGTTGAGTTCGCAGCAGTATTCCCTGACAGTGTTGTTCGAGGTCATTTGTTAGACTCGACTAGTATTTTTACTGCCGAGTTGTATGCCATCCTCATAACCCTTCTTTGTATTACATACATGTCTCCTTCAACGTTTGTGATCATTTCAGATTCTCTCAGTGCTTTACAAGCCATTTAACAAATTGATTCCCCTCGTCCATTAGTTCATCGTATTCAACTATGGTTGTGCTTTGTGGCTAGCCTTTGCTAGCCACAAAGATGTCATTTTCTGTTGGGTCCCTGGACATATTGATGTGCAGGGCAGTGAATCAGCAGATGCAGCTGTGCAGTCAGTGGTGCATGATCTTCTTGTTTCCTATGGAGGTATTCCATTCAGAGATTATTTTTCCAGTCATCTCAACCCGTCTTTGCAGCTGTTGGCAGTGGTCGGGCATGCGCCATAACAAATTGCAATCTATTAAACTGCTTTTAGGTTTGTGGCCATCTTCTTACCACTGTTGCTGTTCTCGGGAGACTGCTCTCGTCCAGCTCTGCATTGGCCATACGCCCTTGCCCATGGGTATCTCATGGAATGATGCCCTATTCCTCTTTGTGAGATTTGTTGGGTCCCTATTTTGGTTCTTCACTTTTTTGTCAATTACCTGGTTTACCAGCGAGCACACAGGATTTACCTCCAATGACGCCGCCGCCCTACCACTCTTACTTTATCATCCCTTCTTGCAGATGGCCCTGCCTTTGACTTACAATCACTTTTTGACTTTTTGTCAGCAACTGTTTTACTATACAAACTTTGACACATAGCCCTTAGCATCTCTTCCAGCCCTTTTCTCCCCTTGCCTCTGATCCCCTCTTCACCTAGCTGTTTATAGCCTCAGCATTCACTTCTGCTCCGCAGCGCTGTATGACCCTTGTTGGTTTAGCGCTTTCTTTGATTATAATAATCCTTGATGCTGGTGAGGGGCTCTTGATCTAGGGAATTGGATCTGTGCTCCAGTTCCCTGAATTGAGCCTGAATACCTTCCATCCCCACCCCCCACAGGCACTGTATAATCCCTATGGGTTTAGTGCTCCCCCACAATTATAATTCTTAATGGGGGAAGCAATAAACCTGTTTGGGACACCCAGCTCTAAGGGTCTTCCATGGGAGGCAAAGGATGATCCATTGGGAAGGTGGATTGCTTGGATAATTCTGTATGACCCTTGTGGGTTTAGCACTTGGTTCTGATTGTAATGATAATTCCTTGGATCAAAAGCCTTTTATCAGTGTCAAAAACTCTCCAGGGAAGGCAGAGGGCAAGAGGAGCCCTGTAGCAGTATAGGATAAATTCTTGGATGCTAGGAAGGACCTCTTGGCTGGAGTCCCTCACCCATATCAGTGCTCCTCCCTTGGTTAAGTGCTTGGTTATGATTATAATTATTACATTTAAGAGGGAACCTCTAAACTCGTAGGGGTTAGATAATGTCTGGGGAGGGGACAAAAGGCATTAAAGCTTGTTCCAAGGAAGAGGAGAGCAGGCCCAATTCCTTGAATCGGGAGCCCTCAAGCAGCGGCATCATAAGGGGGGGGGGCACCCCGGGTGACACCATAGAGCCTCTAATGGAGGTGACACTAATGCCCAAAACAGTGCTGCAGCAACATTAGAGAAAAATCCTTCATTTCTATATAACCTCTTCTATGATTACAGAGTACAAATAGGCCTATATAGGGAAAATCATTGATTTTGATGTGATGATTTTGCAGGATTGAAGGCAAGGAAATGTAAGATCAGTCACTGAGATGTTACCTGTACTCAAGGTCAGATTGGAACTAGTGTTTATTTGATATTGCAATGTTTTTCTTTATTTTTCAATTTTTTTTTTTTTTGGCATTGTTGATGAATAAATGTAGGATCTGTTGTCTGTACTCGAAGTGTTATTTTAGTTTGTTTCCTCACTATTACTACGATTGTTTATTTTATAATTAATAAAGTTAAGAAGTATTCTCCTGTTTGGTTTATGGCCCTTAAATGTTCTCATTGCTAAGCATTAGTCATTGGTCATACAGTAGTGACGTAACTGGAGTTTTCTTCCCCCATCTCCCTGCCCTTGGATTTCATGGGGGTGGCACCAACCCAACACCAATGCCACTGCTCTCAAGGGAGGTTCCTAGATGGTGGTGAGGGGCTCTTGATTTAGGGAATTGGATCTGCTCTGGTTTCCTGAAATGAGCCTGAATACCTCCATCCACCCTCGTGCACTGTATAATAATGCAGGTTTAGCGCTCCCCATGATTATAACAATTGAATCGAGAGCCCTGCACCAGCTTCAAGGAATCTCCAGGGGAAAGGTAAAGGAGATGAAACTAGAGAGTGGGAAAGGTAAAGAAAAGTAGAGTGATGGAGAAAGGAAGTAGAATTAGGGAGAGGAGGAGATGGAGTGAGGAAGTAAAGGCAAAGATGGAGGTAGAGAGAGAGAGAGAATGTGATATCTTGAGACTACCTCTCCAATATCTTTTTTTGTGAAAAAGTGAAGAGCAGCTGTTATATAATGACTCCAGTTTCTATCTGTGAGAAGATAGCCTTGACTGCTGAAAGATTTGCCACCGAAGTGGCTAGTTTATTGTGCACCCCGTATCCATCCTGTGGACGGTAGCTCGAGAGCATATGGATACACAAAACGCCTAGGAACTAGGCCCCAAAAGGATTAACAGGTGTACATTTTGATTTATATCTACAGTTAATTTGTTATTAAATTAAGGAAATTTGCTTAGTACATCTGGTATCTTATTTTCATGAATAAGATATCTTGACATGTCACATGCTGCTAAAAGCACTACAAAAGCTGCAAAAAACATTCCCCCTAGAGAAGGTTCCTTGAAGTTGGTGAGGGGCTCTTGATCTAGGGAATTGGATCTGTGTTCCAGTTGCCTGAGTTAACAATGAATGCCTTCCATCCTCCTCTCCAAGGCGCT